CCGCCGCCACTCCCCAAACTGCCCAAAGGCCTCCCCCACCCCGCACAACCCCCTGCGCAAACGCGTCAAACGCGTTCACGCGCGTCCAGTGAACGCGTGTTCACCATGTTCATACCCTGAACGCGAAACGCGCGTTCAATGAACGCGCGGTAACACAGCCTCACATCCCTCAAACCCTACCCCTACGTCTCTGGGGGAGGAAAACGTCCGTCCTCCCACTTCTGACTCGGGAGGTTGTCCCAAATTCTCTTTCTTGTTTGGAATCAACCTGTGGAAATGGAAAGAAATTCGGAGATGAAGATATTATTAGGAGCCTTGACCCACTACTGCCGTTTTACGCTTGTGTTCCTCCGTTTTTTACCACGTGCGGCACTCCGTGACATCCGTTCGTCATTGATCCAGTAGCGTATCGACTGCTAGTGTCGATTGTCTTTGTTTTCGTGGAGGCAGCTGCTTATCGGCCAGTAGAATTTTTTTAATTCATTTGTTGGCCATATAGTTCGCCACTTTGCGTTGGCGCGAAGCTTCAATACTATGGTTTTCTTAGGGGGAGGGGGGGGGGTTGAAGCTTCACGCCTTGCTATTTTTTTTTGCAGAAATTAAGAATATTGAGATTTTTGTGGAAGACTGCGAACAGGCCGGCGGGAAGGTCGCATGCAGATGTACCAGGTTGGTGGAAGTGTGGATGCACAGCCCATACTGTTATAATGTCGATGTCAGGTCTCATCATTTTTCGATTTTTGGGTCCTTTTCCTTGCTATTGCCTTAAACCACCAGTACCTCGCTCAGCTATCAAGTCCGAGGCTCAGACTACCGGTAACCCGATCGTTCCCGAGCCTCGGACTTTATTGCCGAGCCTTGGACAAGCGGTAGTACATAACGGAAAAAGAAAAGAAAAAAATAATTTAAAAAAAACATAAAACATTCTGCAAAAAAAAAAAAAAAAAAAAAAGGGAAATTAGACATTTCCAAAGAGAAAGAATCATTCTCGTGAGAGAGAGAGAGAGAGAGAGAGAGAGAGAGAGAGAGGGCGTCAGCCAGTGTCTGACGCCGAGTTTGGAGAGAGAGAGAGAGAGAGAGAGAGAGAGAGAGAGAGAGAGAGAGAGAGAGAGAGAGAGAGAGAGAGAGAGAGAGAGAGAGGGCGTCAAAGTGTTTGACTCCGAGTTTGGTGCGCCAAACTTGGCGTCCGAGACTGCACATCCCCCCTTCCCCCAACAACTCTCGAAAAATGTAAAATGAGAATGAACTTCCCGCTAGAACAAAGCAGATGCGCCCAAAAAAACTTTGCACATCGTTTTCTTTTGTACTACGTACCTCTGCGACACCCTCTCTCTCTCTCTCTCTCTCTCTCTCTCTCTCTCTCTCTCTCTCTCTCTCTTTCTCTCTCTCTCTCTCTCTCTCTCAACGTCCATATGAGAATGAATCTTCCGCGATAACTCTCTCTCAACGTCCATATGAGAATTAATCTTCCGCGATATCTCTCTCTCAACGTCCATATCGTGGAAGATTCATTCTCATATGGACGTTGTGTGTGAGAGAGAGAGCGAGCGATCGAGAGAGAGAGAGAGAGA